ACGAGGAGGTACGGATTAAGGACCCTCCTGGACGCGAACACCTGGTATCAATTCGTAAAATGGAACTCGGATCGCCCGGCGAAGGAGCGCGCAGCGCCGAAGGAAGGAAATCTCTCTGGTAATCACGACAGAGATGAAGGGCGGGTGAACGGGAGTGAGGGAACGGAATCGATGAGAAAGCGAGCGGCATTCCGGTTTGTTCGTAATTGAGAAGATCGCATTTATAATTGAAGTACTTTACGCAGCTTCATAATAAAACTGCTGACGTTTGCCGCGTCATTGTAGAAAGAAATTGCGGTTCAGACCAATTAAAATACTCGACTTATTTAACATTGAAAATAAAAGTTTCGTTAATTTAGCCTTTGAGAAAAACGGCGAAATCACGCTTAAACTTGAATGCATTTTATTTTAAGGGTACAAAAAAGGAGGCTAATACAAGGTAAATTAGCGTTCAAGATAACCAGAACGAAAGATAATTCTTGAATAAGCAAACCGCGTCCTCTCTTAAACGCGCCCCGATGAATCATAATCATCGTCTAAATCCAAAGAGAATCTATCCTTAGCGCGGAACTGTGTAATTTAGTTTTATCTCGCATCCGAGCTGAAGCCCGAGAGGTTTAGAAAAATCGCGGAAAATTGCAGTCACCTCGAATATTTAATTAATTATTGATGCTGCGCAATCGATCATTATGGAGAACTGGATCACCATTACTCAGGATTATGCAAATAGTATGTTCCTTCCTCGACACGTTCGAAGAAGGACGCAAGTATCTCAAAGTATAATATACTTTCCACGAGCGTCGTAAAATACGTAGACGATGCGTGACGCTCGCTCGTTAATTACAATGCGGCGTGCGCGCGGTTTTTTCTTTTAGATAAGATTGGAGGATTCAATAAAGAGAGCAATGGGGCATCGATTACCCTACTGTCCATCGATAATCCCGAATGAAAGGGGAGGGAAGGGCTGCTGCGCGCGAACACCTGGTATCGTCGCGAGACGCGCAAGATAGAGGATCGACCGGTGGTTTCAGAAGAAAGAGGGGCGTAAAGACGAAGTGAAGCTGCAGAGCGGAGCAGGGAATGAAGGTCACATAAGCGGGGCAGTTGATCGTCCTTTATGCAGATGAGGAGAAGCGATAAGGCGGAGCGCGAACGCATACACGCGAGAAAGAATGAGAGAAACGCCTCCTAACCGGAACCAAAAAAGTCTTTGGAGTAATTGCAACGTCGTTGGCCGGCCGGCCGGCCGGGCGGGCGGTTGCGCGAGTGGAATGCAACCCTGAGGAACGGAGCGGCGCGTCGCCCGGAGGATACGTCCCTCGAACATGCGAAGACACTGAATACGATCGAGATTGCGCGCGCCGATTTTCTCGCCCTTTTCTCCCGCGCCTTCCAGAACTGTCGTATTAATGGCGCCCATTAGAGGCGGAAATTACGTTTCAAGATAAATTAATGTTACATATGGGAGCGTTATTATGCTGGCAGTGGCGTCTATCGGGCGGAATACTCCGATCTGGAGGGAACTTTGTTGAGGCAGCGAGAGCGTAATTCGAGATTTAACTCGCGATCGTTTTTAACGTCGACACGTTGCGTTGTTTTTCGCAAATCCCTGAATTTTTGGTAGGAATCCTCGCTTCACTGGTCAAGCGAGAGAGTGGATTTATTTTTGCGAAGGACTTCTTGCGAAAGACCTAATTTTCGCGGACTCCTCCCGTCGAGAATATCGCGAGAATCGCAAAAGGATCGCGAGGAGCGCTCGATTGCTGGCCGCTTGATCGCCGCATGTGCATTAATCGCGCGGATCGCCGGGAAATAACACGCGTGTACAAAGGTACGCGTACAGATGCTGCCGAGGAGGGTTTGTGGGAAAAACTTGATCCCACTTCCGTCGTTCACGGCCCTTAATGAAAGGGACATGAGCGCGGCCGCCGTTTCTTATTCGGGGTCTGTCATTTGTTTCTTTTGCCGTGCGGCATACATCGCGCCCGAGGCTCCTCTGCGCCGTCGCGATGGCTTTAATGATCTATCGGCCAATTAATAACGTCCGGAATCTACGCGCTCGTAGGAAGAATTAAAGGGCGCGCCGCTCTTTCGACTCGAAATCGTGAAAGTGGCGCGATACGTCGCTTTAAATTACGATTATTACGATTATTCCTCCGCGCATCACACACGTGCAATCGATTAATGATCCAATATAAAAATCGCAAAAGAAAATCCTGTTGAGGTAACTTTCCTGCAAATAAGGAATACGTTCGCTTACGAGAACAAATAAGGATGCAGCGTTTTAGATCAGGTGACTTAAGGCTAAACCCTGATTGGCTCTCGTAAACGATCCAGTAAAAAAAATAGTATCTTGTGCCGTTTGCTTTAGATCGGATGACTTAAGACTAAAAATCCTGATTGGCTCTCGTAAGCGATCCAGTAGGAAAAATAATATTGTGTGCCGTTGGCTTTACTTTACCTACGCACCGTCGACTAACGTTTAATCATTTAATCAACGGCTCTTTCTATTTCCTACCTACTTCGCGTTCTGACAAACACTGTCACTTTGATTACGCGTTTTGCGACACGCTGCAATCGCGTTTTGTACGCGCGCGGATCCCCGCTTCATGCGCTACGCGATGCGTTTCCTCGGGCGTGGATTATCTCTCGCCGGCGCGGAGAGGATTAATTACAGTCCGCGGGACAATAATAACCGGGCAGGATGTGTTTTATTCGTCTTGTCCGTGAGTCTCGCCCTCCCTCTCGATCTCGGGGTTTTTCGAATCGCTACCTGTTGCAGTGTTGCACGGCCCGTCGGACGAACCGAAGGATGTTCGCGGTCCGACGAGTCGCAAGAAGAACGGGACGCGACGTGCATACGCACAATGGTCCTCGTTAATAATCCGATTGCGAGAGCTCCGATCGCGGTTTGGCCTCCATTACGCCGCGGATACACCAGGTAGAAGTAATTTACCTGGCCCTTTTTGCGCGAACGTCGCGGTTGTAACGAGAAGGACGATAGAAAGAACAACCGCCGCGCCAATTGACGGTCACCGCAACACGATTTGCTCGACTTCCAAATATAAAGCCGACTGTTTTTCAATCATGATGCTTCACGGATATGCCAGTGCGCTAGACAGGCCGCGAGACGCACGTTTCGCGAACACCGAGATTTTTTAGGCCGAGCTCGTGGGAAGGAAAACTCTTCCGCAATCTCGATTATTTTATTGAAACCTCGAACCACACGTCGAAATTAATTGTATTAACGCAATACAAGGGAGAGTAAAAGAAACGGTATATGAATTCACAATTTATTAAAAATTACAAGTATCGGCTATCTACATCCTACCTTGACTCGCACTTCTAATGTGAGGTAGTGGGTTTTCAACGTCCAAATTCAATCGCAAAGCTTTCGTCGCGGCGATTAAACACGATCTAACAAGTGATTTTACATTAAACAGATTTCTTCCTTCAATAGCAACAAATTCACGGTAGAGCCAACAGATGACGCCTATTAATTTAGCAGGGACTTCGCTATCTCGTATTAAGAGCTTATCTCATAATAGAGGACTTCCCTCTACATATTTTAACGTAAGGTACGGTGATTGAGAGAATAGTCGCAACGCTCTTTTTTTAAACGAGCTCAGGATTTTGATTCAGGTTTCCGAAACATTTTCTCGGGGGAAAATTTTACTCGAGAACTAGTTCACACGCTTTATTGCCGCTTAGAAGCATTTTGTCGTTCGGAAGAGACATTTTTAGATTCTCGAACGAAGCGGCCGAATACTTTTAATTCCCAGATACACTGGGAAGAAATGATAGAAATTAACGTTGGAATATAATCCAGCGTCTTCTGACGCACCAGTTGGACTAGACGCGACTTATACGTCTTTCGTACGAAAAGGAAGAAGCGATAATATTACACTTCGCGCTCGCCGGTGATTCCACCTGTCATCGCTGCACCTGTCTCTCGGGAGACACTTAGCGGTAACGTTAATGACCTCCCGCTGGCTGCTGAATGCACGACATGCGGGTGGCAGAGTGCAAATTTGTGGCATTCTGCTGCATACCACGCAATTCTTTATATGACGACGCAGTGTCTTCGCCAGATATCGTTCTTTCAATACGCGCGTTTAAGTCGGGAAATAAATCTGACACACTTGTGGCTGTCCGCGATTGCGGTTTTATAATGCGACACTCAATATCTTCCAGGCTATGTCCTTTTCCATTTCGAGATGCACTTCGGGATGATGCGTTGTGAACGCATTTACTGAACGTAACTTGCCATCTTCAAAGAACTGCATTAGTGCCTCCGCGAATGCGGCATTTAAATTTTTGTTTGCCTCCCACCTGCCCGATGTTGAAGTTACGCGTGATGCAATCCAGTGCCAATTTGTCGCTAGAACGATTTGAAGCCAATTGTGGCGTGCGTTGCGTTGACTGGACTGCGTGCAGCTGTAGTCACGGGCGATTAATTTTTTTATTTACTCAAGCGCTCGCACGAAACTCGTTATGAACTCGTACTTCCGGTTTGAGGGCCATCCGCGGTATAAAGATTAATTGAGGAATCCGTTATGCCGCTGGTATTAAGGTCATTCCCACGCCTCCTCGTCATTCGCGAGAATTCGTTACGTTCCACTCGGTCGATTGTTCATTCATCCCACGACAACTTGCCTTAATAAATATGCAGCGTTTGTAGATAATTAATCTACAATTCAAAGCATTTCATTGTATATATTTTTATAATTGTTTTAAATTTAAAAACATTACATCGTATTTCTATAATTATTTTACAAGAATGTATATTTACAATTATAATCTATGACGTTTCACGTGAGTAAAATGATAAAATAAAGAATTCCTCAAGATTAATTTTTAACGAGTTAAAAATAAATTAAAAGTAACAAATTGAAAAGTTTTTTTCCCCCGCCGAGACTGACTCGTCGCTTGCCGCTTCCGCGAAAACTCCGGCAGTTCGCACAACCAGCTCTAATAGAGACTCATCCTCTTCCTTTCAGACGGCACAATGTTCACGATCGAGATCTTTCAACGTTACAACCTTGAGTCCTTTGTGGGCTGTTACTTTCCTGCGGACTTCCAGGGCGAATTCGTGACGCAGGTGAACGGAAGGGGCATGGCGATCGAGGAGCCCATTCAGTATTCCACCATTAACATCAGCACCAGCGCGATATCGGTGTGGGGCTACTGTTTCAAGAGGGTCGGCGATAATGTGCTGCTAATAGACAGGTCAGTTAACTCGACGAATCACGGACATTTTCTGCATCGAGGAAAGTGTCCGTTCCACTTGTTGGCGGTTAATACGCGGGCGACTAGAGAAGCCCGCAAAACGGTTCTTGCGCTGCACGGACTATCGATTAACCATGAGAATCGGGGTGGTGAGTGCGCCTTTCAATTAAACTTTTCTTCGACGAAAAGTTTATACTCTAAACTTTTTTACGCGAGAAGATAATTGACAGTCTTTAAGCGCGCAAATGTTTAGAATTTTTACGGGAAGTGAGTGAGAGCGGATTTTCGCAGTATGCGATAAATGGCGATCTCCGATAAATTATTTGACGTATATACAGTTTACCTTTCGGCCCCTTTATGTCTTTCTTATCTGTACCTTCCTGCCGATTTTGTTTACGGCTCTCATAACTTGGATACAGCGCGCGCCTTATCGCACGCCCTGCGTAACTGAATTATCGCGAGTGGCGTGAGGCGATATATTTCATCCTTTTTATCAACCGCGCGCGTTAAAATCTCCGCGCTGGAGCGTTAAAGTCTTAAGAGCCGCGAACGGATGTTGCGAAGGTGTACAGACGCATGTAAGTCCGACGCCATAAATATCAAAGTTTCGAGTTACCCGACAACGAGATAGAGCGGAGCTGGCCGGAACGTGCATTGCATTCGGGGCAAGGGGAGGGGGGGGGGGGGCGACGGCACCGAGGTAAGCCGAGAAACTCGACTCACAATTAGGAGTAACGGTGTATTCACAGAACGATGCACTTGCAACTAGAATACCGTCATATCTACGGCGCTTGTCGCACATGTAAATGCAGTTAACGGGGCACAGTGTGAAACAGTGTTGAAAGAACGCGGCACTCGTCGCTACGCGCGTGTCTAATTATGTTAAATCTCTTGTATAGAATCTTCTCGCATTCTCGTTATTAACACCCGCTGCGTTCCGGCGCGTTGTATCGCCGAAGAGTGTCTAACGCTAAGATTATTATGTGCGACTTTCGAATATCTAGCTAATTGCAAGAATCTCTCTCTCTCTCTCTCTCTCTCTTTAAATATACGGCATTTTTATTCTTATAATATATTTCGATGTATTTCTTAACTTGAAGTTTCACGAGAGTAACAACTGCAGAATTATTTTACTTCGATAATATAATTGATTTGATGAAAGTTAATTCTATTTTAACGAGACTTAACAATTTTATGAGTTATTATCGAGATACATAATTGTGAAACAACAATTGGCAGTGATAACGAATTTATAATGTAATGTTTAATTCATATCTATTTTACTAAGACTAGAAATTCAACGAGATGCTTAGAGCTGTAAGAAAAATCCGCTACTTTTACTGCTTTCTATATGAGTCGCTGCAAGTCTAGACGGGAGAATGTCGACGGGTCGTTCGCGCGTAGAGGAGAGGCGGGTTTTTCCTGCCAAAGAGGCAGAAATTCGCCGACGAAGACGACAGTGGGATATTGTCGTCACGGGAAATGGAAAGGGTGTGAAGGGGTTAAGGTTAAATTAGCCTGCCGATGTGCCCCCGGGGATGCCGCGACGTCTACGACTCGTCTGGAACGAAAATAGCCGGCTCTCGAGATGGCACCGGACGCAGACACTCGTGTCGCGCGAACTTGGGCTAATTCCAGAAAGAGGACGGGAGCCGTAAAACGAAAAGGGAACGGCGAAACGTGTGTTCGCCTCGTCCCTAATCGGTGCAGCTACGACATTGCCACCTTTGCGACGTTGGGTTCTTTTCGCTGAGACTCGTCCCTATTGCATTATCGTGTAATTGAACGTACTTCGATATAAAACTCAAGGTGCGGAGAATCTGGGCGGTTTTGTAAAATTCTTAACTCATGAGTGCTTAATTAAACAAGATCTTGTACATGTCTGTATGCAGGATGATGCAAAAAGTTGCTGAAATTTAATAGTAATCATTTTGCAAAAATGATAACTATTTAATTTCAGGGCAGAAATAGGCAGAATAAAATTAACTAAACGTTATAGAAGGATAACGCTTGTATTCTATTTGACAGTAACAATAATGTAAATAAGGAGGAATATAGGTATAATTAGGGGAAC